TACATTATTTTTTAATTTATTTGAACAACTGTTCAAGTGTGAGTTCTTACATACCCATATTCGTATTTCCCATTATTAACATCATATCCAAGTTTGTCATCTTTGTAATAATCCATGAACTAATATTAATCCATTATTATGAACTAAATTCTATACTTTAATCATATTTCCATACTTTATAGTTACTGTCATTTCTGTTCTAGGATCCCATTCCCAAAAGAATATTACATGTATTTGTCAGGTCTTCTTATGCTATTTTTGGCTATGAGAACTTCTTAGGTTTCCTTGTTTTCACTGACCTTGACATTTTTTCTTATTTTTTTTTTTTTATTTTTTGGTTTAGTCGTGGGGCCTGAACTCTGGGCCTGGGCGCTGTCCCTCAGCTCTTCAGTCCAGGCTAGTGGTCTGCCACTTGAGCCACAGCGCCACTTCCGGTTTTTTTCTTTTTTGCTTATGTGGTGCTGAGGAATTGAACCAAGGGCCTCATGCATGCAAGGCAAGCACTCTACCACTGAGCCACCTTCCAAGCCCTGACCTTGACATTTTTGAGTACCACTGTTTAGGTAGTTTGAAGAATGTCTATCAATTAAGATTTGTCTGATGTTTTTCTCATCAATAGATTTGTTATGGGTTTTTGAAAAGTAACAGAAGTGAGTGTCATTTTAATCAAAGTACATACTATCAATAACTTATTATGGTCTATGTTGACAACTGACAGTGTTCATCAGAATTTTAATATTTTCCTATAAAGTTATTTTGGTACTCTTTGGAAGTCATTATATGCCATCTATACTTAAAGAATGAAGAGTTGTGTTTCATCTCTGCAAGGAACAACATATACATAAATTATTTAGAGTTCATATAGACAGGAAGATTATATCATTTTTCATTAATTTATTTACTTATTACAATCAGAATTGACTCAATGATATTGATTTTATGCCTTGGGTTACAATAAAATATTGCTTTATTTATAGTTCAAATTGACAGCATTTTGGCCCTTGGAAGGTCTTACAGTTGACTATGTCTCATTGGCATGCTCTTATTACTGTTTTTAATATTTCCTTACTTTCCTGTACAATGTTCTCCAAAGTCATCTTGCATACTTCCTGCCTGAGTCTTAAAATAAGTTGTGTGTCCAAGGAACTTTGGGTTGTTTCATTTGGAAATGGTATTAGAAATCAGGAGCTGGCCACTAACGTGATCATTGTTACTTATGCCATTGCTTTTAGCCCTCTCAAACTGATGGAGATAAGAAATATGTGCATATACCAGCCCATGGACATCCACATATTCATGTTGCCAACTACATTAAGCTAAACATAAGTTTTTTTCATTTCCTTTACATTATTTTTAATTAAAGTGAAAACCATATATTCACATAATAAAATTAACCTTCTCCCCTTCAAAGCTGACTTGAAACTTGAGATCTTTCTGTTTCAAGACTAGAGTGCTGGGATTACAGGCATGAGCCACCTGTTGGGGGAGATTACAGGCATAAACCACTATGCTCAGCTAAAATTAACCATTTTAGAGTACACACAATTCAGTACTTAGAACAGTAGCAATGCTGCAAATGCCATCTAATTTGCAAGCCTTTTCATTACCCTCAAAGAAAATATTTCATCCGTGATTAATCATTCTCTTCCATCCCTCTTTTCAATTCCTCAAAGCCTGTAGCAAGTACAATCTGATTTTTGTCTGAGGCTTTGCCTATTTTGGATTTTGTGTAAATGGAATCGTATGTGACCTGTTGTAGTCTTTCACTTTGCGTAATGTTTTTGAGGATCATCAATGTTGTAGTATCATAACTTCATTTTTATAGGTGACTAACATTACATACATAGGTATGATGTATTTTATTTGTTCCTAGGTTGATGAGTATTTGGGTTGCTTCTGTCTTTTTGCTATTGTGAAGAATACTGGTGTAGTTTCAGTGCCCAGTGTATTAGTCTTTGCTTTAGTTCTTTGGAGTATCTACCTATTAGTGTAATTAGTGTGTTATATGGTAATTCTAGCAAGTTTTGAGAAATTTGATATGGTTTTCCACAGCAGCTATACAATTTTATGTTCCCATTGGTATTTTTTCTACATCCTTACCAATATTTTCCTATTAAATAATCAGAACCCTTAATTGGCATGAAGTTGTACTTCATTATGGCTTTGATTTGCATTCCAACAATGAATAATAATATTCAGCATTTTATGCCTATTAGCCTTTTATCTTCTCTGAAAAAGTGTCTATTCATATTGTCAGTTAAGTTGGTTGACTTTTGTCAAAACGTCACATAATGCCCTTCTCAGAGATATTGTCAATATTTTTTCTATTCTGTGGATTGTCTTTTGACTCTCTTGATAATGTACTCAAATGTTCAATTAATTTTTTTGTTTTTTGCTGCTAGACCATTAGCAACTCCAAAATCATACAGATATGTCCATGCTCTCTAAAGTTTAGCCCTTTCATCAATTTTGGGACAGCATTGGTATATAGTGTGGAAATGAGGTACAATTCCATTCTTTTGCAGTCTTCTCAGTATTACTTGTTGAAAAGTTTGTTCATTCCTCATTGAGCGATCTTGTCATATATGTCAAAAATCAGTTGACCATAAATAAGAGGGTTTATTTCTGGATCTCAATTTCTTACTGGTTTATTTATCTGTTGTTATTCCAATGTCACAGTTTTGATTAGTGTAGTTTGAGAGCAAGTTTTGTAAACAAAAATGAGAGATCTCTGACTTCATTATTTTGCAAGATTGCATTGACTATGTTGAAAGTCTTATTCCTAGAAATCTTTTATTTATTTATTTTTGGGTCGGGTCGTGGGGCTGAACTCTGGGCCTGGGCACTGTCCCTCAGCTCTTCAGCTCAAGGCTAGTGCTCTACCACTTGACACAGTGCCACTTCCTGCTTTTTTCTTTTTGCTTATGTGGTGCTGAGGAACTGAACCCAGGGCCTCATGCATGCAAGGCAAGCGCTCTACCACTGAGCCACCTTCCCAGCCCCATTCCTAGAAATCTTAAGATGGGTTTTCTCATTTCTGAAAAAAAAAAAAGAAAAACCCAAACAACTAAAAGACCAAACAAAAAATGGGATTTTTATAAATTCATTTAATCTGGGAATTGCTTTGGGTACTACTGACATATTATTAAATCCTTCTACTCATAAACACCTGCTTTTGCTTTCTTATAGACATAATAGTTCTACTTTCTTCTAAAAGGTCTGGGAGAGATATTTTTTTGTCTTTTCCAGCTGGTAGTGACTGTTGGTATTCCTTGACTTGAAGCTACATTATTTGTTGCTGCCTTTATGGTTCTATTGCCTTCTCCTATACCGTCTTTAACGTCTTGTCTTTACCTTTCTCTTCTCTGAACTCAGGCTTGCTTTGTAAGCAAGCTCCACCACTTCAGCCAGGTCTCCAGTTCTTTTGCTTGTTTTTCAAAGAGGTTCTTACTTTTCCTGGGCCAGCCGGTACCACATCCACCTACTTCCACCTCTCCAGTAGCTAGGATTACATAGGCATGCTCCATCATGCTGGTCTTTTCTTTCTTTTTTCTTTTGGTTATTGTTGTTATTTCTTTTTGTCCTAGAGGAGGACTAGAACTCAGTATCCAAAAGCTTTTGCTTTTTGGCAAGTATCCTACCACCTGAGCCATGACTCCCAACTCCTGGGTCTGGCCTAGCTGGGATCACAGGCTTATGCAACCACACATAATTTATTTGCTGGTCTTGTACTTTGATGCTTTTAATTTTTTGTTTTCCAAGGAGCTGGGATTGCAGGCATGAGCTACCACACTGCACTTTGCCTCATGTATTTTGATTTACTAGGCAACATTTGGTCGTTTACAAATGTAAGGTAATGTAAGCTCTGGGGATGACGGTATGGCTCAAATGGTAGAGGGCTTGCTTGGTAAGTGTGAGGCTCTTAAGTTTAAATCTTAGTACTGCACATAAGCACATAAACGCACAGGCAATGTAGTATGTTATTAAAAAGGAATTACATTTATTTGCACTGCACAATGAAATATAGGCTGAAAACTACTAATTTTTGAGACTTAAAAGAAAAAAAGAGCCCCAAACCAGCAGCCAGGTAATTTCCCTAAGCCAGGAATTTGGCAACTTTTTCTTTTTTTTTTTGTGGCTGCAAGAGAAAAATGGCATTAAGGTCAAGCATTTAAATGTCACGTTTTTTTAAACATCTCAGTCACATACCCACTGCTACTTATTTTAAATATCTAAATTATCCAGCTTTTGATTAGTACGTCACACAATGAAAAGTAGGCCCTTCTGTTTTCTCTAGAGAGATGACAGGACTTGGAGATTCTTGTATAGACTACTGAGGGCTTCCATAATTATAATTTTATTTACAACTTCACACTCACAGTCACGGTTTCAACTACTTTGCTTGGCAAGTGAAGACACTTTCACCAACCTCAGGTCTAAATTCATCGCCCCTCCTACCTGTGGCCTACCACCACGGACCTAGGTTCCTCTCCCCAGCTCATTGCGCAAGGGAAGCAAGGAATCTCTTATTTTTTTTCTTCAGACTTGGAAGAACTAGAACCGTTTTCTCATTCGCACCCGGATCCGTGGCAGTCGTAGCTTCGCCACCCAAGCCAGGGCGGCCACCTCAGGAACCGCCGCGGGGAGGGCCGTGGGAGGCCTCACTACTCACTTCTCCGAGCGCCACTTCCGGATCTCCGGTGTCTCCACGTTATCGGTCCGTCCCCTCCCCGGGGCAATTCCGAAGAGCTTCGTATTAACCCCGAGTGGTGGTCCAGGCGAGGTTGCGCCAGTGGGTTAGTAGGGCGAGACGGCTCCCAGGAGACGCAAAGAGTTGACGTTCAGGCCCGAGTGAGCCATTGCGACCTCGGAGTGGGACAGGAGCGGCTGCGGCGGCGGCCGGGCCGTTTTTTCCTGAGCACCGAGGCCGGCACACCCGGAAGTCGCGCTGTACTGGAGTGGCGCTGCCGCCCCCACCGCCCCCGCCGCCGGGCGCGCGCGCCAGGTACCGCGGGGTGGAGGAGACGCCACGGTACGCCTCAAGCGCGCGTGTCAGCAGAGGCCGCGTCGCCGCGGCGGAAGGGCCCGGACCTCTCTAGTTCTAGCCCTGCCGCGGTAGCTTTCCGGAAAGGCGGAGGGTCTGGCGGGGTGACTGGGCTGGCGAAGGGCCGTGGCGCCTGCCGGGTCCGTCTCCCACCCCCGGGGTCCCCGCTCGCCTCTGGCTGCCACCTCGTTCTCCCACCTCACCTGGCCAGGTGAGGCGCGTAGAATTGGTGGAGCCCGGGGAGCGCTCGCGTCGTTTCTGCTTCTGGGAGGAAGCCAGCGACCGCGTTTCGGCCTTTCCTCCCTGAGGCGTGCTGTTTTATTTTCATGTTTGTTTCTTCGCCCTGCACTCGCGATTCAGTTACACGCAGCCTTGCTGTCTCTGTCTCTACCCATTTCAGCGTCCGCCTGTGCCTCCCGACCCTGCAAGATGCTGGAGTCCTATGTAACGCCAATTTTAATGAGCTACGTGAATCGCTATATCAAGAACTTAAAGCCTTCGGACCTCCAGCTTTCTCTGTGGGGTGGAGACGTGGTTCTCAGCAAACTCGAGTTAAAGTTAGATGTCCTGGAACAGGTAAGCTGTCTAACTGTCATGGCCGAGAAACATTTCCAGTCCTTCTAGGCACGGTTCGTTTCCCATGCTGTGACTTGCTGCAGAGAAAAACTAGACGTGCTTTGGCTTTTAGCAAGAAAAACGTCATTTTCTTGCTAATGTGTTCTATGCTGATACACATTGTCAAAATGTCCTATGAAGCTGGAGAATATTACTTGTGTATTTTGGGGCAGAGAGATTAATTAAGGTCAGATTTTGAAGAAAGTTCTGCCTTCCCTAAGAAAGAATCCATTCCTCATGGCATCCTCAAAGAATTCTCTAGACACTGATTGAGAATGACAGTAAAGTTGCAAACTTCTTTATTCATCACTTTTTAGTTTCTTTTAACATGTGAATCTCTTGATACTAATGAACTGTAACTTGCAAAATTCATGCATTCAGTAACTCATGTAGAACATTTACCAGTAACATATGCCAAATCATTCTCTTACGTTTGAGGATTCGAGATAATCTGTGAATTCTTAAGAGTCAGAAATCAACTATGTTCTTTAGGAAGTATGGGAAGATTTAATCTGATGGTTTTTGTTACCAGTGTTTATGTTCTATTTTCACCTGTTGCAGAATAATCTAGCGGTAATAACAAAAACTCTTGGCTCCTTCCTCATTCTTTACCCAAGGTTAAGTGGGTGTTTTAATATGTTCATTTAAACATTCTAAATGAGCATGCATCTTAAGTGTAACAACATAGTTTTAAAATTTATCATATCTGTGCATCTACCATCTAGATCAAAGTATTTCCTAGCACCTTAAATGACTTCTGTGCACTTTTGTAACCAATACTCTCTTCTCATAAAATAAGAGACTGCTAATTGGATTTCTATCAAGATAGATATCTCTTACCTGTTCTTGAGCCTCATCAAATTTGAATCATTTCTCTTTGGCTTTTTTCATTTCATGTTATAGATGTGATCAGCTCGTATTCTGCTTGAGCAGTATTTCTTTGTTATTGTATTCCATTGTACAAGATACCACAATTTACTTATCTACTTTCCTATTGGTGGATCTTTGGCTGTTTGTATTTTTGACTATTATGAAGAGTGCTTCTGAATGAACATTCTTATATGTATATTTTGATGTATATGTGTAAGAGGTAGGCATATGTTCAGCTTTAATATATATTGCCAAGTGGCTTTTCACAGTGGTTGTATCATTCTTACTGCTGTTAGCTATATTTATTATCTTAATTTTAACTTTGCTGGTAGGTATATAGTGATATTCCATTTTAATAATTTTCCTTTTTATCATATTGGGGGTTGAACTGAGGGCCTTTCTGCTATTAGACAGGTGCTCTAGTTCTGAGTCATCTCTCCTGCCTTTGTACATTGGTTATTTTTGATTTAGGGTCTAGATTTTTTTCCAGGATTGTAGTTTAGGATTTTCCTATTTCATGATTACATGGAATATGGATTGTGGCCTGTTACCACAATTTCTGTCAATGTCAGCCTTCTGAGTATCTAGGATTATAGATTTGATCTACCTTGCCTGGCCTCTTGTAATTTGTATTTGCTTTTTGTCTAATGACTAATGATAAATACCTTTTCGTATGCCAGTTGACTATTTACATGTCTTTTCTAAATTCTGTTTTATGCCTTCTTAAAAAATTGGTTTTTCTGTACTTGCTCTTTCTTTTCAACTTGTATTTTTTTTTTTTCTTTCTCCTCTGGGGTCTAGAGATTGAACCCAGAGACTTGCCATTTACCTAAACTCTGAACTAGTTTCCTAACAGGAGTTCTTTCTAATATTTGCGATCTTTCTAATATCTGAAGTGAGTTCTTTGCCACATGATAGCCTTGTGGCTTGTCCTTTACTTTCTTAAAAGTATCTTGATGAGCACAAGTTTATAATTATGTTATCAAAGCTTGTCAGTCTTTTACTTTATGGTTAGGGTTTTCAGGTTTTGATTTTTCCTTTTTATTTTTACACACTTTCTGATAGGTTCTTTTGGATTGTCTGTGTATACATCTGTAAATGATATCAATTTGACATTTTCCTATTCAATGCATTTACCTTTTATTTCTTTTTCTCCTATTATTTCATTTACCTCTGATATAATGCTGAATTTTTTTTTCAACTTCAGTAGGAGTTAAACACTATACTATAAAGTGTGTTAGGTGTTAATAACCTTTATTGGGTTAGGGACATTTTGTTCTATTCCTAGTTTTCTAATGAATTTAAAAAATATTGAATAGGCATTGAATTATATGAAATATTACACTTAATAAGTTCACAATGTTTTTTCTTTTTTGTTAATGGGGAAAGTTGATTTTTAAAATGTTAAACTCTGCATTTCTGGGCTAAACCTCAGTTACTATGTAGTAATCTTTTTATATATTGTTGGATTTTATTAGATTTTATGTATTTCTATTGCATAGAAATATTTTCATTGTATAATTTGAATATATTTGCAAATTATATAATCCTATGATTTATTTAATTTCTGTCTTGTGGCAGTACTGGGGTTTGAACTTAAGGCTTCATGCTTACTGCTCAGGTTCTGTATTACTTAAGCCATGTTTTCAACCCTTTTGCTTTAAGTCTTACTTTTTGCTGGAGCACAGTCCAGCTGGAGCAGTGTGTGCCCATGACACTCAGTGTTTAATTTTGTGTGCATAAACACTGGGACTTGAATTTAGCATTGTTTCTAAGGCAAACACTTTACCACTTGAATAATTCATCCTAGTCCTTTTTTCTTTTAGTTACTTTTTTGAATAGGGTCTTGCATTCCTACTTGAGCTAGCCTATATTCACTTCTCTTTTTTATTCCTCCTGCATAGCTGGAATGATAGGTGAATGCTACTCTGTCCAGCTTTATTGGTTAATATGGAATCTTGCTAACTTTTTGCTGGAACATTGATCATTGATCCTCCATAACTCTTATCTTCCAAATAGGTGGGATTATAGGCAAAAGTCACCATACACCCATACCTAGCTTCCTTATTAAGTGGTGTGTGAGTGTGTGTGTGTGTGTCTATTATGTGTTTGTTTGTCCTGGGACTTGAACTCAGGGCCTGGATGTTGTTCTTGAGCTGTTTTGCTCAAAGCTACTGCTCTACCACTTGTACGGTCCACTTCTGGCTTTTTTTGGTGCTTAGTTGGGGATGAGAATCTCATGTACTTTCTTGCCCCGGTTGGCTTTGAACTGCAGTCCTCAGATCTTAGCCTCCTGAGTAGCTAGGATTACAGATGTGAGCCACCTGTGTCTGGCCCTTACTAAGTTTTGATGATCAGATATGTTATCTTTTAAAGATTATTTGTGAAATATTATCTTTTTATAATTTATAGAAAAGATTATATGTGATTGGTATTATTAGTTTTTCATGTTATTGTCAAAAATATGTAGAACAGGGCTGGGAAGTTGGCTCAGTGGTAGAGCGCTTGCCTTGCATGCCTGAAGCCCTGGGTTCGATTCCTCAGCACCACATAAGCAAAAAGAAAAAAGCTGGAAGTGGCGCTGTGACTCAAGTGGTAGAGCACTAGCCTTGAGCTGAAGAGCTTGAGGGACAGTGCCCAGGCCTAGAGTTCAGGCCCCACGACCGGACCCCAAAAACAAAAAAACAAAAATGTGTAGGACAACATATTCCCCTTAACCAATTTAAACGTACAATTCTGTGGCATTCATTACATTCATATTGTCATATAGCCATAACTATTTTCCATACCCAGAACTTTTTCGTCTTTCTCAACTGAAATTCTGTGTCTACTAAGCTTTAACTCTCTATTCTCCCCACCTTCTACTAATCATTTGCAGCTACAATTGTACTTTGTATCTTTATAAATATGACTACTCTAGGTACCTCATATAGGCAAACTCATTGCATATTTACCTGTTTGTGACTGACTTATTTCTCTTCTCTCTCCTCTCCCCTCTCTCCTCCTCTCTCCCTTCCCCTTTCCCCTTTCTCTTCTCTCTTGCCTCTTCTCTCTTCTCTTTCCCCTCTCCTCTTTCTTTCATTCTTTTTTTTTTTTAATTCTTTGTCATGGGATCTCACTGTGTAGCTTAGGTTAATTTTGAACTGCATTTATTTATTTTCTTAAAATTAGGTCCTTTACTCTCAATTCTCATGCCTGGTGCTTTACTACTTGAGCCATACCTTCACTTCTGGTATTCCACTAGTTATTGGAGGTCAGAAGCTCTAGGATTTATCTGCCTGGGTTGCCTCTGAATCTTAGTTGTCTGATCTCAGCTTCCTGAGTCACTAGGATTAAAGGTGTGAGCCACTGGTCTCTGTCTTGATTAGTTTAGAACACTTGATCCTCCTTCCTCAGTGCACTGAGTGCTGGGATTACAAGCATATGCCACTACCCAATGTGTCCTGTTTCTTTCACCCTAGACTGTGACTTCCAGGTTCCTCTTTATTGTAGTATGTGTCAGCATTTGTTTTGAAGGATTAAGAATATTTCATTTTATGAAATACCACATTTTGTTTATTCATTTATCTTATTATACTTGGCTAGCTTCCATCTTTTGGTTGATTGGGAATAATTATTGTGAATAATGCTGCCATGAACATATGTGTAAAAATATCTTTCAGATTTTGCTTTTACCTTACTTATGTATACATACCCAAAAATGAAATTGTTAATTGTATAGTAATTTTACGTTTGTTTGAGGGGCTCTGATACTGTTTTCCACGGTAATGTACCATCTACAATTCCTCTGAGCAGGGCACAAGGACTCCAGGTACTCTATATCCTTGCCAACACTTACTATTTTCTATTTTCGTGATAGCTATTGTAATGGTTATGAAGTAGTATCCCATTGTATTTTTAATTTTTCTCTTATGATAAGTGATGTTGGGAATCTTTTCATGTATTTTATTATTTCAATATTATGTTTAGAGAAATGTCTATTTAAATTCTTTGTCCTTTAAAAATTTATTATTATTACATAATTGTACAGAGAGACAGAGTTTTCATTGTAACATGTCCATTGTCCAATTTTTGAGTCTACCATTGAGGTATGACGTCTTTATATCTCAATTTCTCTCTCTCTCTCTCTCTCTCTATATATATATCGATCTCTTATTAGATACATGATTTGAAAGTACTTTTTCACTACTGCCTTTGTCAGTAATTTCTACCCTTTCTGTCTTGAGTGATCATTATATTCTTGTTGAAAATTATTTGGTCATGGGTGTAAAGGATTATTTTGCTGAAAATTATTTGGTCACAGGTTTATTTCTGGACTCCCAATAAAATTCTTCTGGTCTCTATATTTTCCTTTATGCCAGTATCACACTAGCTTTGTGGAAAGTTTTGAAATTAGGAACTATGCAATTTTCGCTTTCTTCTTAGGTTTTTTTTTTTTTTTTTGCTGGTCCTGGGACTTGAATTCAGGACCTGAGTGCTGTCCTTGAGCCTCTCTGTGCTCAGGGCTAGCACTCTACAACTTGAGGCACAGCACCATTTTGGGCTTTTTCTGAGTAGTTTATTGGACTTTCCTGCCCAGGCTGGCTTTGAACTGAACTAAAAGTTTGATAAAATAATTTGATAAAACTATAGATAAAACTATTTTATATATATTATAGTTACATATACATATTGTGATATAGTTTGATCAAACTATATTGATAAAATTATTTAATATAGTTTATTATTTGATTATGTTTGATAAGCTGTAATTCTCAAAAAATTTCGTGGGGCTTGAACTCGGGGCCTGGGTGCTGTCCTGAGCTTTTCAGCTTACGGCGAGCATTCTACCACTTGAACCATAGCACCGCTTCTGGTTTTCTGGTGGTTTTTTGGATATAAGAGTCTCACAGACTTTCCTGCCCCAGCTGGCTTTGAACCATGATCCTCAAATATCAGCCTCCTGAGTGGCTAGGATTACAGGTGTGAGCCACTGGCGCCTGGCTCAAAAATTTTTTTAATGTGAGATTATTCTTTTAAAAAAGGAATTTGAATATTACAATAGAAATATTAAGCACTTAAAAATTTTTATTTATGCTTTGTCTTTTAAGGAACTGAAATTACCATTTACCTTTTTAAGTGGACACATTCATGAATTGAGGATTCATGTACCATGGACAAAACTGGGTTCAGAGCCAGTGGTAATTACCATCAATACAATGGAATGCATTTTAAAACTAAAAGATGGAATACAGGTAAGATAGTATGGAATCTAATTGTTTATGATAACTAATTTTGATAGTTATTATATTTTACACTTCCTTAACTTTAATATGCCATCTGTCACATAAACCTACATACTTTTTACTAACAAAGCAACATAATCATTTACAGAAGAGGTTTGGATGAAGCACTAAAAAGAATGTATTAGTTGGGTGTTGGTGGCTTATGCCTATAATCCTAGCTACTCAGGAGCTGAGCTTTTCTGCTCAAGGCTAACACTCTCTCATTTTGAGCCACAGCTCTACTTCCCATTTTCTGGTGGTCAATTGGGGATGAGTCTCACGGGCTTTCTTGCCCAGGCTGGCTTTGAACTATGATCCTCAGATAACAGTCTCCTTCCTAAGTAGTTAGGATTACAGATATGAGCCACCAGCACCTACCTATTTTCTTCTTTCTTACAACTATTTTCATTATATTCCACAGGTCTTGGTGTATTTTCATTTTCATTTTCTCTTAGAAATTTTTAGATTCCCCCCCCCCATTATGTTTTTGATGACTTATTTGTCATTCAAAAGAGTAGAATTTAGTTAGTTGTTTGGAAGATAACACATTATTAAGGTTTGGTTTCAAAAACATATATTGATATAATCCATAGTATCTCTTTTTGTCATGTATAAGCCTGAAATTTATGGACTGTGTATACCAAACATGGCATAAAACAGTTCGATGAAAAATTTTTTTTTTCAACTTATTGAGGAAATTTTAAAATGCTGTCATTAGTGGAAGCTTATAAAATTCTGTTATATTTGTTTTACCCTTGAGATTGTATCCCTCCCATTACTTTTTATGCTGTAAATGTATTATTTTTATTTTTCATAGTGCTAAGAAAGTAAACATTTGCCTGGGCGCCGGTGGTTCACATCTGTAGTCCTAGCTTTGCAAGAGGCTGAGATCTAAGGATCATGGTTCAAAGCCAGCCTGGGCAGAAAAGTCCCCATGAGACTTTTTTTTTTGGGGGGGGGAGTCTAGTCGTGGGGCCTGAACTCTGGGCCTGGGCGTTGTCCCTCAGCTCTTCAGCTCAAGGCTGGCGCTCTACCACTTGAGCCACAGCGCCACTTCCGGCATTTTTCTTTTTGCTTATGTGGCGCTGAGGAATCGAACCCAGGGCCTCATGCATGCAAGGCAAGTGCTCTACCACTGAGCCACCTTCCCAGCCCCGCCATGAGACTTTTTATCTCCAATTAACCACTCCAAAACTGGAAGTGGCACTGAGCCTCAAAGTGTTAGAGCACTACCTTTGAGTAAAAGAGAGCTCTTGGACAGTGCCGAGGCCCTGAGTTCAAGCCCCAGGAAGGATTAAAAAAAAAGAAAAGAAAAGTAAACATTTGTATCTAGAGAAGTAAGGAAACCTTTAGTTTCGTGAGGGAGTTCCTTACAATGTTATGAATGAGTAGAAATACGGAGTTGTAATAGAAATGCCAGTGTAACCTTAATTATAGTATTCGGTGTGTTGGACACTACAATTTATTTGTGTAAATCTTACAGAGATCATCTAGTTTTGAGAGTTTACAGCTTGCTGGCGGTTCCAAATTTTCTCTTTTCTGCTGGTTTTGTGCCATCCCAATTGTTACATGGTATTAAAGATAATGAAAAACATTTGATAACAGCTTCCAGAGAGAGAGAGAGAGAGAGAGAGAGAGAGAGAGAGTGTGTGTGTGTGTGTGTGTGCTTCATTCACAAACTCAGTTTGCCAGAGTTCTCTGGATTTAGGCTTGATGATTGTTGTTTTCTTTTCTTTGAACTTGCTTATTTTGCCCTGATTAGTCTGGCAATTTCTGTTTATTAATTTAAGTGTTTTACATTTCATGTCATTTTATTTATTTTTTGTCAGTTGTGGCTCTGTCCTTTAGCTCTTGAGCTCAAGACTAGTGCTCTATCACTTGAGCCACAGTGCCATTTGGGCTTTTTCTGTTTATCTGTTGCTGAGGAATCGAACCCAGGGCCTCATGCATGCAAGGCAAGCACTCTACCACTGAGCCACCTTCCCAGCCCCTCATGTCATTTTAAAACATTGCCTAGTGTCTTTTTTTGTAGTCTGAATTTTGTTCCTTCTTTCCTTGTCTTCTTTTGGATTATGTAGTCATTCTGTTATATCTGTGGTTTTGCTTTCTGTGATTTTAGTTACTGGAGGTCAGCTGTGGTCTTAAAATATTAAATGGAAAATTCTGGCAATAGGTAGTCATAAGTTTTTATATTACAAGTCATTTTGAGTAGGGTTATGAAATCTCTGGGCATGAATAATTATTTCTTTGTTCAACCTATGTGTTATAAGTGCTGCTTACTGCTTAGTCACTTAGTAATGACCAGTTATCACATGGCCTGTTTTTGTTATGTTTTTGCAGTGCTTGTGTTCAAATTATCGTATTTTAACAATGGCCCCAAAGAGCAAGAATGATGCTGCTGAAAATTTTATTATATTACTTTATAATTATCTTATTGTTGTTATAATTGTTAGTTTTACCCTGCATAATTTATAAATTAAGCTTTATTAGAAAGTACATATGTATAGGTAAAAACACACACACACACACACACACACACACACACACACATATACATATGGGACTTAGAACGATGTTTCCAATTAATCAGCAAAAAGCTGAGCAGTTTCAGGCATTCCCTGAAGACCCTGGAATATATATCTCTTCCACCAGAGAATGGTTATATTTTAGCCTTCCATTTACTTATTATTTTTATTAGCTCTATCTTTTATTGTTTTTTGTAGACCCATGGAATATATACATATAAATTATCACTGCCTACTCTCAGTATTATATCTCTTCACAGGTAATGGATTATCCCTTACATTAGTGTGCTTACAGCAATATAAACACTATATTTCTTTTTGTTCCATATATCATTTGTGATAACAGTGTCATAACTCTTCAATATTTGGTACACATTAAAATATATTACCTTTTAGAACAATTAACTTTTAAGAAAAATGTTTACTCAACTGATTGTTTTTGATAATATTTATTTATATCAAAAGTTTTCATTTAGTAATTGGTTTTTGTTTTCTTTTTGTTGTTGGTGCCAGTATTGAGCTTGAACTCAGGAACTGGGTGCAGTCCCTCAGCTTCTTTGCTCAAGGCTGGCATTCTACCACTTGAGCCACAGCTTTACTTCCAACTTTTTGCTGGTTAATTGGAAATAAGAGTTTCCTGCCTGAGAACGCTTTGAATCAGGATCCTCAGATCTCAGCCTCCTGAGTAGCTAGAGTTACAGGTGTGAGCCACTGGTTCCTGGTTCACCTAATAGCATTTTATTCAGCTTGACAAACTTCCTTTAATAATTTTTCATCGTCCATTTCATATTGCCACAATCTTTTTTTTTTTGGATCCGGTCATGGGGCCTGAACTCTGGGCCTGGGCTTTGTCCCTCAGCACTTCAGCTCAAGGCTAGCGCTCTACCACTTGAGCCACAGCGCCACTTCTGGCTTTTTTTCTTTTTGCTTATGTGGTACTGAGGAATCGAACCCAGGGCCTCATGCATGCAAGGCAAGCGCTCTACCACTGAGCCACCTTCCCAGCCCCTTGCCACAAATTCTTTTAGTTTTTATTTCTTTGAGAAATTCTTGGCTAGCTGGTGCTGTAATTCTAAATATTCACAAGACTAAGATTTAGAAGAGTGTGTTTCAAGGCTAGCCCAAGTAGAAATGTCTGTGAGACTACATCTCCAATTAATCAGCAAAAACCTGAGCAAGTAAGGAAGGCCTGAGTTCAAACCTAGTTACCCGCAAAACCTCCCAAAAATTTGCTACTGTCTTTGCTTTAAAATGCTGATTTCTGGATTCAGTCTTGGAGTTTATTCCTGCTTATTTGTTTTTGTGCAAGGGTTTCTTTTTGAAATAGTAGCACTGACTACTTTTTATTTAAAAGATAACTAGTGTGATGCCACATACCTGTAATACTAATTTTTGGTAGGCTTGTGAAGGATGATTATTGTCTGAGGCTGTTTGAAGCTGTTAAGAGGCTGGTTTGGTAAAACCACAGAACTCTATTTGAAATGTAACTAAAAAGAACTGGGAGCATGGCTCAAATTGTAGAGCACTTGCTTAGCTAACTCAAGGCATTCAGTTCAAAATCAGTACTGAAAAAAAATGTAATGAATGAAAAAAAAAGATGGCAAACTATTAGAGGATGAAAGCATGTTAGAGGATAGCAATAGCTTAAATAGTCTGTTTCTGAATCTCTTTAGTGATCTAATAGTATTCATCAAAAACTGCAACTTAGATAATCTAGCTTCTGTTTTTGAACTTTCTCATCTCAGTGAACTAATATTATTCATAAAAAACTGTCACTTAGACAATCTATTTAACTTAACTATTTTTCTTATTTGTTAAATGAGAATGACAGTATCTTTCAGGATATTTGTGATAGTTATGAGTAGTGAATGTAGAACTTATTGCATTGCTTGTGCCAGTGATAATAGTCACTTAGTCTGTTACTTTTGCAATGTAAGATTTACTCACCTAAAAAAATTCTTCATGAATAAGTTAAATCTATCATAGAGGTCATTTCTCTAATGGCAACAGTGATAATTGTTAATAAAAATATAATTTTGCCAGGATGTTTATATAATTTGGAGATTAATATCCATTAAATTATCAATGTTATATTTCTTTGACTTTATAATTTTTCTTGAACTTATTTAACCTATGGATACATGTGTAATGATCACTTAAAATTTGCTTTATGAATAACCGTTCAAAAGTCAGTTTCTTATTTTAGTATTATCAACTTTTATTTTATGGATATTGCATTTTTAATTAAGTATTCAGTATATGGCTGGTGCTTTTCTTTGACTCTGTTCCACTATCTCAAGGCTCATTTTTTTTTTTCTTTCTTTTAATTGTGCTCATCCTGGGGCTTGAACTCTGGCCTGGGCACTATCCCTAAGATTGTTTTTGCTTAAGGCTAGCACTCTACAACACCAGCGACAGCTCCACTCCAGCTTTTTATTTTTTCCA